TATTCTTGCATGTTTACCTTTCCATATTCACATTAATAACAACTCGTCCTTGATAGTTAATTTTATGTGATACCAAATTGAGGAAGCAATTCAGGGACCCAGGGATACATGCCCATTAACAATGAATAATTCAGCCAATGGGAGATCATGCAGAGACCTGGGCCCCGGAAGATTGAGGACCAAGCACCAGTAGCCCAGATGGGGTGAAGAAAATTATAGAGGTAGGAGGCAAACCCCAGGTAAGTACATATCTGGAGTCACGGTTGGGTGGAACATCAAGATAAGAAGGTGAGAAATAGTGGCCATGCCCAGAAGAGATAGCGGAACCATAGCCTTACACCATGGTGGGAAAGGGCCAGCAAAGTTGATGCAGGAGTCCATTTGTCCTAAGTCCTCAGGTGAAGTGAATTTATATTATTAATTAAGAAGAAAATATTCCCAGCCCTCTGTTCAAATAGTTAATATGGCTTTCAAGAGTGTTAAGTGTATTTATGTTACACATCTCTGATGTAAGGTTTACTTTATTTTATCCCTAGAAAAATCTAAGTTTTTTTCTTGGAGGGTTTAATAATTTGAAACTAAAAATTTTAAAAGCATTTCAAACAGCCCCTTTACCTCCTCTGCCCACGCATTTACCAAAATAAATAAGGCCACCCTGCAAGCCACTCTCTGATTTGCATGGCAGTGAGATCTGATGCAAATTCTCACATTTTAGGCTATTTCGGGGTTTGTGAAAATGGCAAAGGGTTCCTTTCTTTAAATAGTCCTGGGCATGATACCCTTGTCCAGGGGATTTTGACAGTACTGTTACTGCAAATTAAAAACATTTCAGGAAATAAAATGTTAATGATAAAAGAAAAATTTGGGGTGGTATCAGCTTTGGTTTTTGCCGTAAGAAAACATCCCAGTCTTGAGTGGAGAGTTAGAACTTGTGGCCTGGCTGTCGCCTGTGGCTCACACCTCACTCCCATCCTGCTGCCTGCCATAGAGGGCTACACTGTTCCTAACCGCCCCCCCAACACCCCACACACATTTCACTTCTTCCTCCTCCCAACTCCCACTGCCCCACAAAGAAATCAGGATTGGATGCCCCTTTGCACCCCTCTGAATTCTTTAAAAGCATATAAAAGGTACGTGTCATGCTCAAGGGCTTTGTATGTTTAGTCTAGTGTTTATACAGAATCCAGCACTGCATCTGTTCATAAACAGGTAGCATATGATAACCCCTGGTTCACCCCACCTGGTGAGAAGATTGTGCAGGAAGCACCATTTGTCACGTCCTCACCCTTTGCTCATCCCCATGCACCATCTCATCCTGCCCCACTGCCCGGAGCAGCCAAGGTCCCCATTCTGTGTTCCAGGTGGTGGACACTGTTTAGTTAATGAGGATTAATAATGACACATTAACTATTAGAGGGAATTGGAAGAAATTGAGAGGGAATTCATAGTTACAGAGCACCAACTTTGTCCAAGGCAAAAGTGCTTGAAATACTGTGTTTCATGTAATTATCATAGCTCTCTATGAACTGGGCATTTTTATCCTCATTTTTCATACAGTCATTTGTGAGTCAGGAATTTTCTCAGCTCTCCCTGGCCCATAGGCTGTGTTGAGTTATGGTACATTTGATTTCCTGGCCAGTGTGTAGTAAGTGCTCAAGAATCTTTGGTTATTTGTAGCTTAATCATGGACTTTCAAAAATTCAAAGCCTGACCCCCATATAATTATTTTCAAAGTTTCAGGCACCAGCAGGGATATTTTGGTGGATTATCTCTGTCACGCAATGTAGAAAGAAGACTGCCTTGTCCGACCCTGAGGAAGGTTTCTCCGACTTCTCTGATTTTGTTACTTCTCTTTTCCATGCATTTGGCTGACCCCAAATTTAGAAAACCTCATAACATAATTTGGCTCTCTAGATTTTCTGGAAAGTAAGTCTGTCCCTCATGACCGAGCTTACTCTACATTGCCAAAATGCCAGCAAAGTCTGACCTCAAAAGGACGGAGTGTGCTTCTCCCCAGTTGAGAATGTCATTCACATTCCCTTTAAGGATTATTCCCAGTACAAGGGGCTGCTTCTGAATGCAGCGAAACGCAAATGATCAGTCAATATATGTAAATCTGCTTGACCTCACTAATCATCAGAGAAATGCTAACTAAACGTAAGAGAAGCCATTTTTCAAAGTCCAACAGATTACTCCAAATTCAAAAGATGGTTACTATCCCCAAGTCAGCATGGATGTAAGAAAACTCTCATATATTTTGACGGAAATGAATGTTGACGCACATCTTTAGATACCCAATCATCAGCGTTGATCAAAATTTGAAATGTGCATATTTGTTAGTTCACTTTTAGTTGTTTTCTGTCGTTCTATAATCGCTTTTCCGAATTTTTGTCTCCTTTTTTCTTCTTTCTTTTCTTTCCTTTTTTTTTTTTTTGCTAGAACTCTTACTGGCTGAAGTGTCTTTCCTTGTGATGCACGTCCTTCACCTGCTTTCACTTATGCTCAGTTTATTCCTGCTTGCTTAATTTGAGAGAGGGAAGCACATATAACCAGGTTGTTTTTTATTTAAGGGAATTTCCTGAGTGCCGCCCTCATTCTTCAGGCCCAAAAATAAATGGGAGATGTGTCTTCAAGAAAAGGAATGAGCAGCTGTTGTGAGAGGCCTCCAGCAGAGGCTGACTCTATGCCATTCTGGGGGTGTGGAACTGGGTCACCACATGGATAGTTCACTTTTTCATCCATGGCCTGCCCAGCTCCTGGATCTCCTCTGCCTAACTGAAGAGCCAGGGCTGCCATTAGCCCACTTGGGGTCTAGTGTGAATTACAAGGCCTCCTCTTTAGATGAAAGCACCCCTCTGGCCAGTGCTTCGTGAGCAGATGGGTGTCTCTGTGTGATTTGTCTTAACTTTGTTTAGAAAGGCAGGGGCTCTATCCCAGCCTCTTTTATTCACCCTCTGGGCCAGGCATGCTTCAGCAGGGCAACACCTGTGCAACCTCACCTGGGGGTCCTGAAAGGATGCTGGGTTGTCTTGCAGAGCCAATGAGAAATTGGCACTTTGCCTGACCTGTAATATGGGCCTCAGCCTCCTTGCCCACCTGAGACCAGGCTTTAGCATTTTTGGTGGATATGTTCGGTAGTTTTGTTCAGAGTATGGCCATTTCTTTGTTTCATTAAAGACAGGTTTCTTCCATGAGTTTTAAGAGAGAGGAGTAAAGTAAAATCCCTGTTTATCCAGAAGCTTAATTTCAGAAACAGAACATTGTAACTTATTTGAAATTGTCTTTCATTTTACACTTTTCTTTGGATGCCTGCACACTCATAACTGGCTTCTGTCAGTCACACGCACTTATTGCAGAGAAAACGTACTTAGATTTCTAGTTACATGGTATTGTTCAAAAATAATTTTTTGCTTGACTTTCGTGCCAGTCAAATGCTGCCTCATCATCTTTGGGTCCTAGACTGTCTTCAATGCTCTTTTGCAGTTTTCCCAAGAATGCTGCTGTCTGGAGAGGTAAACAAAAGGGTTCAACATTTTAATTATGGCATATTTCACTTATTTTCAGTACACAAACCCCACGTTACTTAGTTTCAGAATTCCAGTGGGCTGTGATGACAATTTTAGCTAAACCTATCAGCCTATTGCAGGCTTGGTGGAGTGGTTTGAATTAGGCTATGGCTATTTGTGTGTCTACCTTACAGGAGAAGAAAAAGAAACAGCTATTTGATAAGGAAAGGCCAATTCTGCTGAGCATCTTTTTTTTTTTTTTTTTTTTTCTGGTTGTTTTTACTTTGTTTTATTGGGTTGTTCCCTCCAGCAAGAAAAAGACCGACTTATATTTGGCCACATAGGTGAAAAGTGGAATATGGAATCCACATTAATTGGTGGCATTTTTTTTCCTGATTCATTCTGTTCTCTTAGGGATTGCCACCCTGGGCAGCTGGACTTGTTTGTGGGCAGCCACTAGTGAAGAGAACTCTTCAGCCCTTTCTTCCTAAGTTCTATGTTTTTGACATTAGAAAAGACTCAATTTCTGACTATATTCATGACTTTCCTGTAAGACCACTCCAACAGGAGTTGTTGGAGCCAGGATGGAGGCTCCTTCTCTTGTGGGAGGCAGCTTCTCCTGCATACTTAGATTTTGTGACCTGGTTTCTGGATTTGAACAACAGTCGATTTGTAAATAGCTTCAAAAGAACACCCGAGTGTCCCCAGGATCATACTGAGCCATTATTTCCTATTTTGTAACTTTGGTGGGTGGGACAACTTTTTCCTCTGGAGAGAATCTTTTATTTTCTTTTTTCTTTATTTAATAATATTCTCCGGGTTCCAAGTAAATTTTTATGAGGAGGAGTCACAAAAATATACTGGGAGGAGAGGGGTAAAGACAACATAAAAGTAATGCATGCTTTAATATAGCTGAGTTGACTGAAAATCAGAAATAAAATTTTAAGCCCCTTAACTGTCTGAATGGATGCCTGTCTCAGCCAAGGACATTCCAAAGTTAACCTGAAAAATTAGTTCAGGCCACGATGGGAAGTGGAATTTGGACATGCCTCATTATACACTCCTCCCTTTTTGGAATTTGGGCGCAGCTGACCAGCATTAACATCAACACAGACACCTAAGACCAACAGAACAAACTCTAAGTCTGATAAGAAATATTTACAAGCTGGCCAGGCGTGGTGGCTCACGCCTGTATTCCCAGCACTTTGGGAGGCTGAGGCGGGTGGACCATCTGAGGTCAGATGTTTGAGACCAGCCTGGTCAACATGGTGAAACCCAGTCTCTACTAAAAATACAAAAATTAGCCAGGTATAGTGGCGGGCACCTGTATTGCCAGCTACTCAGAAGGCTGAGGTAGCAGAATCATTTGAACCCGGGAGGTGGAGGTTGCAATGACCCACGCCCACGCCACTGCACTCCAGCCTGAGTGAGCAACAAGAGCGAAACACTGTCGCAAAAAAAGAAGAAAGAAAAAGAAAGAAAGAAGAAAGAAAAGAAGAGATTGATTTACAATCTATTCTCTCTGAAGCCTGCTACTTGGAGGTTTCGTCTGCATTATAAAACCTTATTCTCCACAATCCCTTATCATAACCCAGACATTCCTTTCTGTTGATTCCAGGTCTTTAGATAATAACTCTTTCAACCAGTTGTCAATCAGAAAATCTTTGAATCTGCCTATGAGTTGGAAGTCCCCTCTTTCCCCCACTTTCCAGTTGTCCTGCCTTTTCGGACCATTCCAGTGAACATCTTACATGTATTGATTGATGTCTTATGTCTCCCTAAAGTGGTATAAAACCAAACTATAGCCTGGCCACCTTGAACACATGTTCTCAGGACCTCCTGGGGCTGTGTCATAGGCCATTAGTCACTTAAATTGGAGCAGAATAAATCTCTTTAAATATTTTAGAGTTTGACTTTTTTTGTCAACATGACAATGGCTTGCTTAGTCTAACCAGCATGTTCTAGGACACTGTAAAATTAAAAAAAAAAAACCCAAGTACCAAACAAATCACTCTTCAAGGGGAACAAGCTGACTGTAATGGGTACAAAAGATGGCTGGTTTAGGTGGAAAAGTAAAAGAATCAGCCACCCCCTTTAGGGTTTTGCTGAGTGTTGTAGATAGGGCTAGGATTGCAGTGAGCAACACCTTAAAAATGCTTAAGGCCCAGGTCGTTGGGAATTTGCATTCAGATGTAATTGAAGCTAAGATGTTTTCCAAAACTATTAACATTTCTTGGCTTAAAAATTGGGGAACTAGCACACGGGGCTGCCTAGGGCTGTTTGTACAGGGAAGGCCTCAGAAACACCAGAATCATCTGAAGCCCCTGGGGGTTTTACATAGCTGAGGAATTTTACTTGTTCATTTGTGTGTTTACACCCTTGAGACAATACAATCTAAACAGTAATCGCCCTGTTAAGTGGTAGTCGTGCCAATCTTGCTAACTTATATCACAGTTCTCTGTTTCTTCAAACATGATGACCAAAAGAAAACCTTTTCTGGATATTTAAGTCAGGGATAGCTTTAAAAACCTCCATGGCTGCCATGCAGTATTGATGGAGTTTGCTCCTGGGCCTGTGGAGGTTTGTAAACTAGCCTGGAAATGCTCCTTTTAAAACTCTGCCTGCTTTTCGTGCTTTGTTTGTGTTGTTTCTTTTCTGACTGTGTGCGGGGCCTTGTGGGTCCTCTGAGGGTCTGGCCTATGGTTCCTGGCCCATAGAAACTTTTCTTCTTTTTATATCTTGGCAGCTCTCAGGCTCCTGGAAGACTGCAAACCCTGCAAACAAACTTGTTAAGGTTTTAAACATGAATCAGAGACATCAGCAAAGGCCAAATGGGACATCCTGCAATCTTTACTGTGGACCACAAGAAGCTATTTTTTCACTATAGGTACCTTTCTTGCTTACTTCCTGATTTCTGGCTTTGCTTTATGTGGACGAGGTTTTGGAATATTAATTTAAGATAAACTAGGAATCACCATAATTTCAAAGAAGAAGAAAAAAGTATGGTAAAAGCAATATTGTGTTTTTTATTCAGGGCTTGTGTTATATTCTGTTCACAGTAATGGAGAGTTCCCTTTACTGCTATGATGCCAAGGGGTTGGGCATTAGGAGAATTGTGGCCAAGTCTTGTGGGTGGGGAAATCTAAAACAGCCACTTCAGATAGCTTTGGATTGGGAGAACTTGGTAGACGGAAATGTGACTTCCTGTCCTGGTTTTGTTGCTGCCTCAAAAAAATTACCCATTTACTCTAGATCTGTTTCCTAAATTGTAAGTTGAAAGATTTAGAAGAGAAAATAAGATTCTTCTAGCTTAACATTTTGATTTGTGTGTGTTTCTACCTAAAGATCTTTAAAATACAGGACTCCTGGCACATGGCCAAATGGTAAATACCAGATCGAATGCCATCCTGAGATCAGATATCAGGACAAGAGCAAGAGAACAAGTTACCTGAGTCTCTCTCATCAACTCTGACTTGACAGAACAAGGCAGGCAAGATTAGAGACAAGCACCACCTTCCTGGCACTGTAACCTTTTCATCAGCATCCATTAGACAATGCAGGATGAAGTGACTACTCTGTTGCGGCCCAGAATCCATCAGAATTGATGACTAGGAATAATTATGACACACTCCTGGCCAGTTAGGCTTCGGCTGGTATTTGTTTTGCTGCCTGAATTTTATAATCCTCTTTCTGGTCTTAAAAATATTAAATCTCATTCTGTGTGTTCCACGTTTAATAATTTTCTGTCCCTTGAGACTTTGCCGTCTGCATGCTGAGTGTAAAGGGCTGTCTTATTCTGAAAATTTCTAGCAGCCTTTGTGTTTAGCAAAACTGCAAAATTCATAAATTGTAAAAGGAAGTTAGGAAGGGCGAGGAAGCACATTTCACTTTCAACATATTGTCAGAAATGAGTGAGCTACAGTCTGGGGACAAAATCTTGGCCATGAAATGATGACTTGATACCCATCATTCTGATCTGTCACAGTGATGAGAGCAGGCAGATTGGTTCTTCTTGAGGGTGTGGGGGCCTCCTGAGGATGGTGACTGGTTTGGAAGAAGAGTGGAGATTTTCCTGTCTCCCTTTCAGACTGTATTCGCACATGCTCACCAGAAACGGTGTCTTAGAAGAGCCACTGAGAAAACCGTATGCAATATGCAGAATGCATTGTATTTTAAATTTGGATGTCATTCACAATCACACACTTGCTTAGGAAATGTTATTTAGATATTCATGGCACAGTATGTATACTTGGGAAAATATATGTGTGGAAGGTTTTAAAGTCTGGTAAGATTCGAAATTCCTGTATGGTTCTGTCTGCCTTATAAATCTGAGGCACATATCTGATTTCTAGTCAGTTGTCATCCATTTACTAATATCGCGGGTATTCTGAGAGATTCTAGGATTATTCACTAGGGTCTAATTCATAACTGTGTCTCCATGTTGAATTATAATAAGCCTACTCAACCTACATTCTTGCTTTCCTATTACAGATAAAGTCCAATTCCTTGCTATCAGTTACAAGGGCCCTTATGATCTGGCCCCTGCCTATCCCTACAGCATCCACTTCTATACCTTTCCCTTCCTATCATTCCTTCTGTCACACTGGCCTTCCTTCTGTTCTTAGAACACACCGATCTCATTCTCATTTCCTCAGGACCTCTGCTGTCGCTCTTCCCTCTGCCTGGAATGCACATCTCACTTGGCAAGGTTGGCTGCTTCTGTGATTTAGGTCTCTGCTCATGTGTCACAACTTCGGAAAGGTCTTTTTGAACTTCCCTGTTGAATGTTACTCCCTCCCCACCACTTCATCACACACATGTTTTATTTTTCTCTAAGTACTCATCACTCTGAGAACTGATCTTTGTTTCACTGATTTCCTATTTGTCTGTTTCCCAGGCAGAAATGCAAGCTCCATAGCAGTAGGGACATTGCCAGTGTTTTCCAGGTACCTGGCACAGGGCAGTGGCTGAGTCCACATTTGTGGACTCAGTAGCTGCACATGTGCTTTCTGCAAAGCCAGCGTTAGGTCGTGAGAGTCAGAATAACAACAACAAACTAAACCACAAAAAAAGTTATGTCAAACAGTGGTCCCTACCAAGTTATAAATCTGTGCTTCCTAGGGGATTCACAGCACTGGCTCTTGGAGAGATGAAAACATAAAATTCTATTACCCCATGGAATTTTCCACATCCGCTTGCTTGGTCCCATCCTTGTCCCGTTGTGACCCACTCTCTCCCTCCAGATGGTGAATGCCACTGGTATCTCCTAAAGCCTGACTCAGGAGCCGCCTGCCTGAGGAAGCCCTTCCCAGAAGCCTCCTCTCCTGCCTCCCTTCACACCTCTCCCCTGCATGTCTTCTACACTCTGATAGCATCCTGACTTATATTTGGCTGACATTCTTTTCTAGGGAAGCTACTTTTTCTTTTGGTGCATTGGTAGGGAGGAGGGGGATAGGCAAGGATCCTTTTTTTTTTTTTTTTGAGACAGTGTCTTGCTGTGTCGCCGAGGCTGGAGTATAGTGGTACAGTCTTGGCTCACTGCAACCTCCGCCTCCCTGATTCAGATGATTCTCCTGACTTAGCCTCTCAAGTAGCTGGCATTACAGGTGTGTGCCACCACGCTTGGCTAATTTTTGTATTTTGAGTAAAGATGGAGTTTCACCATGTTGCCCAGGCTGGTCTTGAACTCCTGACTTCAGGTGATCCGCCCACCTCGGCCCCCCAAAGTGTTGGGATTACAGGTGTGAGCCACTGTGCCTGGCCTGTTTTTTCTTTCTTAACTGAAGCCACCTGTGTGTCTTCTATTAAATGTGCCTGCTGTCATCTTCAGAAAGTAATTTGTTTCATGAGAAAAGCAACAAAGGAATGTTTGTCTACTGCCTACATTTAAAAATGCCCAATAAGAGTGTATCCATTCAGAATGGCCTGCCCTCTCCAGTGATGACAGCCTGCAATTCCATGGTTTTCAATGAAGTCACTGACTATTGTGAATCTCAGAGTTGGAAGGGCTGTGGAGGTCTTGTCTGCCAAACTCCCACCACAGGCAAGATGCTGCGAACCCTTTCAGCACAGTAGCAGAATTATAGAGTAGAATAATAGGGTTAGTCATTTCATCTTTTTCCCTGCCTTGGGCAGGAACAAAGGTAAAGCACCCTAAGCAAATAGAGAGATTTCACACCATCCCCGCAGATTTGTTCTTTGCAGGACCCTCTCTTTGGTGTTTCCAAAGGCAAAACCATGGTGTCGAGGTGTAAACTGACAACACAGGAAATCGGTGGTGGGGCCAAGCCAATCTAGATGCTCAGTCCCCAGTTCCAGGCTCCTAGACCAGACCACATTCCTGCCGTTTCCATGGGACCCAAATGTTTGTGTGGGTGTAGTAATTTCCAGGAGGAGCTGATTACAAGGCAGCTGCCTCACCTCTACTGGTGCCAGGAAAATGAACCCAGTGACCTCAGGCAGCAGGCATTTCCCCACATCCTCTACCTGATGTTCTGGACCTTGAGGTTTCACAACCCAACTTGACTCAGTGTAGGGTGTTATTTAATTACACAATAAAACAGGGCTACATAGTTTGCTGTGTTCACACCTGTGGGATGTTGAGCTACAAAAAGCAGAAAAGGCAAAAGAGTGGAGGCCAACGAAACTCTATAAATCATTTTCATTTCCCACCACCCCTGTGTCTGATGCTCAGGTGGTTTCTTTCTTCTGTCAATTTCTCTTGAGTCCCTGCTGCTCAATTAGAAAACAAGCAAGGAAAGAAACCAAAGAGCATGATCCAGGAGAAACATTTTCTGGGAGGTTGGGAGACCTCAGACCCAACTCAGGCCTCCTGTGTTGGTCCCACTGGGGTCCCTCTGCCTCTGTCCTGTGGGAAAATACACTGCACACAGGCCAGCAGCTTGCATCTACGCTGAGCAAGTCCGCCCCCAGGGTTGGTGGTTCTATGTATGCGTGTGCATGAGTGTGTGTGCAGAGAGGAGGCTGTGGGATAGAGAAGCTGTGAAAAGGCTTAAAATTTAACCTCCAAAGAGGATGCTTTAGTTCCAGAGAGTCCCCACTAAAGAATCCTAGCACAAAATTAGGGATGTATGCATCCTTCTGTCAAAAGGTGTTGCCAAGAAACACGTCAAATACTTGTACTTTTTGTTCAAACTCAGAGTTAAGTCACAGTTAATGCACTCATCAAGACTGTTAAATAAAGATTCCAGTCAGAACAGAAATATCTAGAGCTCCACAAGAAATCTGCTGGTGCAAACTGTCACCAGCTTTGAGATGCCTGGCTCTGCTGATGTCACTGTGTCCTGAGTTTCTCTCTGTGCTTGTTATTACCCATGTTTACATTGCCTCTCCATTCCCCACCCCAAACAGTCATTTTATTTGAACTACCTCTCCTATATCTCTTTCTTCCAAACAACAACAAAAGGGGAGGTGTTGCCAGTGGTCTCTGATGGAGACTCAGGGATTCATGGCTGTGACATCTAAATAGCTGCCCAAGGTTCTTCCTGCTTTGCTAAGTGACCAGAAGGGCACACAAATGACTTTCTCTGAACTTCCAGCTGTTGTGCACTTGCTTTTTGGGCCAGATTACTCAGAATTATGAAGATTTTATAGCACATTGGAAAAGTGATTGCCAGGTCATTTTCTAAAGCCTGAGTTTTCCTGCATTTTATCCCCAGCTCAGCTTTTACCTGGTAGAATAGAATTTTTTTTGGTTTTCCCACTTAAGAGGAGGAATAAAAGAAATGGGCCTTCAGAGCCATTTTTAACAGTTTAGAAATGAACACAACTGCTTTTTCTGTCTCTTGGCTGGTTTGACAGAGAACGGGGTTTCTCATTCTAAGATGGAGAGTTCCAGAGGGATCAGGACCCCTACAGCTCTGGATGTCCTCAGCCAGAGTTTACAGGCAACCCAGGTCTCAGTGGGATGGATGGCTAAGCCTCAGCTTAAATTACATGTGGTGGTGGCAGGTAGCATGGGAACTCAAGGTGTGCTTAGAACAACCTCTGAAATGGAACACGTGGGGTTCCAGTTCCAGCTCCTCCATTTACTTACTGGTGGTGTGACCTTGGTCAAGTAACCCAATGTCATTATGTATCATAATGATAAATGACATCATTCCATGATCCAGAGTGGCTACCTCACAGGATTATTGGAAGGGTTAAAGGAACTTATATTTACTTGGGTTATTATTCTGGTGTATAGTAATTGTAGGGCAAAAAGAAGAGATTTGTTAATCACTGAGAAATAGGGAGGTGAAAAGGTTAAAGAAATCTGAAAACTATTGGAAGAGGGCATAAATTTGTGGAATTGACATTTCATTTTTATTTGATGAAAGTTATTTGGAGTTCTTGTAAATGTAGATGTGTCTCGCCTTCTCTGCCACCCTGACACTTAGGCTACATCAATACAGCTTCCCCAAGGACCGTATTTTTGTCGTCTCAAAGTTGGTTAGATTGGGGTCACATTTATTACGTTTAAAAAGAATGTGACCCATTTTTGAGCTCTTGGATTATACTTAACTATTTTAAAAGATTAGAGGAAGTTCTTACAGAAACTACCTTGGTGAATTCTGGAATTACAGACATTTTTCCCAAAATACATCCAAAGAACCAATTACTAATTTTACTACAAATCATTGGAACAAATGGTTACACATCATCTCAAATGGAGAAAGGTCTCTTCTTTGACGAAGAGAAAGGAATTTCTTTCTCTCACTTCTTTCTTCGACTCTC